TCAAATGTGTGGATATGCATAAAAGCCTGTAGATAATGGAAGGAAGAGATTGATAGTTTAATTCAATGTCACTGTTTTTTAATTTATTTAAATATAACCAACTCAAATTGACAATAATCTTATTGGGAGAGCTAATAATAAGAAAATTGTTAAATGGTCACAGTAACTGAGACTATTTTTGAAGGATATTTATTTTCCTCTTAGGTTATGCTCACCAGCCCTAAAGAATTAACATAAAAAATACATTCTTATAAATATATTACAATTAATTCTTTTAACTTAGATGGTATCCAAATGTTGCAGCATGGTCTACTTACTTCAATTATGCAATTGGTGACTGTTGTCATAGTATTGAGAGAGTTTTGATGGATAATATGAGTTATATTGATGCTTTATTTTACTATATGATTTTAAGAGTGAGTTTTCTCAACAAGAAGCTCCAAGTAGCTACACAGTCATCATATAAATTTGATAATCAACCAGTGAGAGTGAAAGAAATAATTGACCTCTTTATCACTCACAAAAATTTTTTTCAACAAACTCCTAACTCATCTTAATTTATGAAACTCAAATTTGGCTAACTTTGTGATAATATCCTTTATAATAATAAAATATGGAGAAACAAACATCTGAAAATAAATATATTACATTACATATGCTCAATAATGACTGCAAGCGACTTATAATTAAAAAACTTGGTTGAAGTTGGGTCACTTACAAAAATTAGTAAATAAATTCCAAACTATTTCTTTGAAAAGAATATATAATTTATTGGTTTGATCATCCAAATAAGTTCATCACAAATAAAAATCAAGCCATCAAAAAAATATGCATATCTTTTAGTAAAGATTATTATAATTAGTTGGTCTACAATATTATTGCACATATTCAAATAAATTAATAAATTAAAATTATAAATCAAACAATTCTTAAAAGATTAAAAATGTTGTTTAAAAAAGTTGAGGGCATTAGAATTGATGTGTCATCAATAAAGTTTTATCACCAAGCACAAATCTCGATGCATTTTGAACCTAAAATATTATTAATTCAAATTTAGGATTATTTGAGCCTAAATTTTAGCAAATTTGTAGTCAAACTGTGTCTCAATATGATAAACCCAATAACAATGAAAGTGATCCAATCAGAGTTTAAATGACCCTAGATCGAATTGTTAAAGCCTTTGGTTCATCAATTATAAGGTCAATCGATCTTAAAATTTAGTATGTTTATAGTCAAATGGAGCATTTCGATGAGAAAAATCCAATAAGTCTAATATCATTTAATTCTGTTGTCATTAAGATGTTTAAATTTTGAAAAAATTACCTGTAATTAAGAAAATCAATGTGGACCATCCGATGAAGTATTTAAGGAGATTCACCAAATTTATCAAAATGTCATTCTCAAAAACTATAAGCAGCACTTATAGTCCAAATTACATTTATACATCTATAATTTTTGGGTTCTTACAAAGCAATTACGATTTCAAAATCATATTTTAATAAGAGCTTCCCTAATTCAGGTGAACAGTGGGTTTTTGTACTCTTGATTATATAGTGGATTATTTTAATTGGGTCATACCTCATGAATTTTTTTTCTTTTCTAGTGTTTTTCACTCTCTTTACTTTTCGTTTGTCTGTGTGTGTTGGATCTTCGTACAACACTTAGACATTAAGTTATCACTGTACCTCCATGATTTTCTTAGCACACAATAAGGCCATAGAGTTTTCCAATGAGTTATGAGCCTATTGCACTGCATCAAGGGTACTAATAGAAAAAACACTCTATAATTGACTTATTTTTTGATCTAGAAGTTTTTATTCTCATTGATATTATTGCTTAAGCTCCAAAGTATAAACTATTAATATTAGTAGTAAATAGAGCAAGTTTTGCCATCATATAGATCTCCTTTCAAACTCACGTGAAGTAGCCTCAATCAAAAGGGCATCAAATGGCCTTTCAACTTAATGGTGAGACATTCACTTATCTCTAATAGATATATGATTTGTCACAACCTTGAAGGTACTTAAAAGAGACAAAAACTTATGTGGTGTTACCGTGTTCAAGTCAGAGAATCTAAATTGATTCTATAAAAGAGACTTCCATGAGAATCACATAAATGAGTCCATTTTCTTAATAAGTACATTAATGTAATGTTGCTCCAAATTCATTAAGGAAAGTAATCAATACGATGAAGGCTACTATAAACTTACATAAAAAATTAAGATAGGCTAATATTGCATACTATAAAAATCTGAATCAGTTGACAACTAAGAAAATGAAAGATTTGTTAGTAAGGTTATCTTGTAGAAATAATACAACATGTTCATTAAAAATGTGCTCTATGAGGTATGCTAGTACCATAGTCGGCAAATCCTTAAAAAAAAATACAATAGCAATGGTAGATGTAATATCACAAAATACCATTAATTTGGATAATGTTCTTAAAATATCATCTTATGAAAGAGATGATCAAGATTATTTTGGCATTCGAGTTTCAATAGGAGGTATTAGCTTTTTTTTCTCATTTTTATTTAAAATATAAATAATTAGAATATAAATATGTTTATAAAGATTTCAGGAAGCTCAAGTACATGAAATACAAATGATCACCACAACAAAATTCTTTTGATGGTAGAAATCAATAACCATCATCGACTCCACAATGTTTAAAAAAAATCTAAGTGCAAAAAAATTTGAAGAAAATGAAATTTAAAAAATATATATATAAAGTGTAAACATTGCCTCCATAAAAAACCTAAACTAATGTAAAGATATTTGATAAATTATAATAAATTCATAAAGAGTACTAATTCAGGAATAAAGTTTAGTTTGATAATCTTGGTAGAAGGCCCTAAAGCCATCAAAAGTGAAAGTAATTTACTTATGCGAAAATGTGGAGCTTATAAAAAGAAGTGGATGAAGAATAACAAGAATTTTGAATGATGAAAATGTTATTATTAAAGTTTTGGGGGTTAAAATATTATTTATTAAAATATGGGTCAGATATATAAGTATATATAATTTACTTGATATCTATGTAAAATTTTCTTTTAATTATCATTATTCTTCCATTTTCTTTCTTCTTGTTTCCCAAATTTGGACTTTTTGACGTGATATGATTAATTTCTAATTTGTTCATCTAATTTGATGCGTGCTAGAAAATTCGTGGTTGTAGACTAATGAATTTTCGTCTTAGCATTGCACGAGAGTTCAACACACAGATAAAAGAAAACAAGCAAGCAAAATGAGACACCTCGACTTTTACGTGGAAAACTCTTGAAAGAGAGAAAAACCACCAGGTCTAGCCCAATTAAAACAATACACTATGAATGATGATTACATGCGTGCACTATTCTCCTAAATTAGAAAATATATAATTACAAAATTGTATAATTATAATATGGCTGCACTTCTTGGTGTCAGCAGGTTGCAAGGGTCTTTTTTAATTGTTGTCGAAGTAGTAATTTATCGTGAGTTTTATAAATGATTGCTCCAGTAGCGTTGCTTGGTCAGATAAACCATAATAAACAGTTGCAGGAGTTGTGGACCACATAGGCTGTAGTGACAGTATGAATGATGTACGTAGGTCGCAGGGGCCGGAGTCGGGAGTTGTACGAGCTGTGAACCTCGTAGGTCGTAGGGACGAGTATGAATGACGTTATAGGCTGCGGGGTCGGAGTTGTGAACTGCATAAGTTGATGACCACATAGCTCACTAGAGCGAGTATGAATGACGTTCGTAGGCCGTGGAGGTCGAAGCCAGGAGCTGCATGAACTGATGACCACATAGGTCGTTGTTGACACATGGATTGTAATGGCGTGCTCTTGTCTCACATACGAGAAATTTTTACTAGATTTTCCAAGTTATAATATTGATTGATTGTGTGTTGGTCGATAGTGGTCGACCACGGTCGGCAGCAGTCGGCGGAGGTCGACGACAAACTACGATGGTCGAAGACTGTCTGCGATGGTCGAAGGCGGTCGTTGGTGATCGACGGCGGCTGGTGGTGATCGTCAGCGGTCGTCAGTGATCGACGACGGGTGCGATGAACAACGTTGGTTGACAGTTATACTGAGTTGCAGCTCCTCCGCAAGGCCTTAGGTTCTCTCTATAGAGTTCATCTCCCTCTCATGTGAGGGGTGAGAGTCTATTTATAGTGTTCTGGATACAATTAATGCATGAATATGTATAATTTTGACTGAATGGTACAGATAGCTTCCTTCAATTTGACGGTGTTTAATGAACATTGGATATGTCCTAATGATGTCAGATTTGAGTGATATTGAGCTTATTGGATTTGTCTTGTTGAGACGCTCGATTCGACTATAAACTTGCTAAATTTGTTAATTGTTTGTTCTTCCAAATGTGTCCGAAAATCTTCTAAGAATGGTTTAATGACTTGATCTGGGTTTCATTTGACTCAGATTGGGTTGACTTTTATATAATTAGATTCGTCTCATCGAGCCGATCAGTTTGATTATAAGTTTATTAAAATCGGAGTTATGAATACATTTTTATCAAGGCTCAAACATCTCTTACTCTAAAATAATATCTTGAAATCCATCACGTCTCAAGATTCGTGTTGCTTATCTAATCTTCATAAAATATTGGGCCCTGGGCTTTCATCAATCCCCAACCCCAAAAAATTAAAAATAATAATAATAATAATAATGTAATTAATGGCAGAAAAAACATCGCCTCCCAGAGTATTCAGCCGATAACACTTCGCAGGCATCACAACCAACCAGACACTGCAACGTCTACGGCTCAGATTTCATAGCCTGTCCCCCTTTGCTTCGCGATTAAGCTAATACGCCGAAAACACTGATGTCACTCCTCACTTCAGCCCCCGAAGCCATCTGAAATGCTAAATCCCACCCGCCACGGCACCCAGCTCAACGGGAACAGGTCCTGCCCTCACAGCCCACCGCGTCATTCCCTACTCCACTCAGTAGACCCCACACCCTCCCCGCAACTCTCTTTAAATACCCCCCCACTCCTCCTCCTTTCTTCCCTTTTCTCCCTCTGCTCTCTCTCGCTCTCTAATTTTCCTAAAACCTAATTTTGTTTTGGTGCCCACACTTCCTAATAATTACACTCCGTCCCCCCCCCCTGGCCCAGACCGGTCCACCCAATGGAATTCCTCGCGGCCCTGGAGGGATGGGAGCCTCGACCGGCTGTCAAGCCGGACCCGTTCGGCCCGGCCAAGACCCCCGAAGAAGAGCGGCGGTTGAGGCGGATGATATCGAACCGGTTGTCCGCTCGACGATCGAGGATGCGGAAACAGCGACACCTCGAGGACCTACGGACTCATCTGAACCGACTCAAGTCGGAGAACCGGGATTTATCGAACCGGCTCGGAGCCGTGGTTCACTACTCCCTTCTCTTGCGCGGCGAGAACGACCGGCTCCTCTCCGAGGCGGTCGCTCTGTACAACCGGCTCACGGAATTCGAACATGTCATCCGTTTCCGGCAGTTTCAGCGGCTGAGTTCACTCGCGACGGCCGCCGTCTGCGGTGGTTTCGGCCCAAGCGCCGCCGCCGGAGAGCCCAATTTCTCCTCCTTAATCGTATAAAGAATAAGCTAAGCTAATCAGCACTTGAACCCAAAAAAGCCCGCTTTTTTATAATTTCATAAAAGAGGAGGCCGTAAAATACAGTCTTATCGTGTTCAGTTGAAGCTTTTGAGAAGGAGGTTTATTATGTAAAAAGGGGAATACTAGGTAGTTTTTAATAAGTTTGAGAATGAAAGGCTATAAATTGAATTGCTGATGGCGGCGTTTGATTTCTTATAATATGAAAATTCTGTCAATTACTACAAGTTGGAGCAAGACAAGAGGACGCAGTTTTGCATTACTTGTGAGGCCAAATTGATGCGCCTAATAACAACAAAATCAAACTAACAAGTCCTTGGTGGATGACATGATCGTCTGATGGTTTAACATTTACGTATTTACACATGCCACAGATGTGATGGTAAACGTTGTTATTCTTATGCAGATGAAATGACGATAAAACAAAAAATTCTTTACATGTTGTCACATGAAGCCGCCAGTGATGACCGATGAGATTCGTAGCCATAAATTTAAAAAAAAAAAAGTTGAAAAAGGACTAAAATTTATGACAAGGTTTTCAATATCTGATTAGATTCTGAATGGAGGAACAGCATTCCACGTGATGATATCGGCCATTCATTCCATGTCTCACCGAGAAAGCCGCCCAAAAGATTGTTTTTATTTTTCTTATAAGGAAAAAGCCGAACCCAATTTTATTTATATAAAAATTAAAAAGTACAAATATAGATGATCTCACAACTCAGCACCATATAAAGAATAAATAAACACACAAACCAACAATTATAAACAAATTATAGCAAGAAGGTAAGTACAAAACCAAACAATCAAAGCACAGAACTATAAATATCATGAGCTAACATCACTCAACTATATCAACTCAAAGCACAAAAAATTGTAAGCAATAAATCCAGAAGCTCGGGATCTCCAATATAGCATAATGACCACTCTACCTAGAATCAACAGCAAATCTAAGAGATTAGACCACCACAATCATCACCAAATAAGCTCCACTATTCAAAAATCAAACCTTTTTGTGAAAAAACAAGTAAGAAAGCTAGAAGAGGGGCCAAATTAGACATTCCCCAAATAAATCCAAAATGAAAGATGAGATAAGTATAGTAAAATCACAATTCACTTAATCATCACAATGAAGAGATGAAAATAATATATGCACACAATCAGTAAAATTTATTTCACGTAATAATTAATGTAAAAAAAATTGAAGGTATGGTTGAATTTTAATTTTAAGTTAGAAATCATCACAACTCAATCAAATCCAAACTTTCAAGGATAAATTAAATATAAATTTGTTCTTATCTACAAAGAAATAACAAGAACTAAAATCAATAGTAGAAAAATAAGAAAATAGTAAATTGAATTTACATAAAAAATTTGTCAGCATGAATCTTGAGGAGATCTGATGCTCCATAACAGAAAAGGTAAGTCAAAGGAGTGCCCTCTGGTAGAAGACCCGGAGGCCCAGTTGTCCGACCAAATGTAACAAAGCCAAGACCAACTATATTATAAAAACCATCGAACAACCCAGAAAACGAGTGACTCGACCAAAAATGATGCAAAGGATAATCTAAGCCAATCACCACGATGAAACTGACCCAGGAGAAGAGCTAAACCCACGGGTCTTACTGTTATCTGAGAGACATCTACTCGTTTCCCAAAATACTATCATGAGTCGATAAGAGAAGTTTTAGGCTTCTCTCATGATATCTTTGTCTAAGGGCGACAATATATTTTGCTATATTGATTCACCCTTTACCCGTAACCTAGTTTTGCTATGCCAACAATAGTTCCTCATCAGGGATTGAGGGTATACACCTGGACCCAACTAACCAATTTACAAAACATAACCGATCAGATCAACGCCTGTAAAAATAGTTGACCAATAAAGTCTACTGAACCTTGCCAGTTAGCAGTGTTTATCAACGCCTCATTTGCCCCATTCAACCAAGCATTTACCAAGGCCTCATTAGTCTAGCCGATCGATAAGATCTATTAAGGCCTACCCAACTGAATCAAAGTGTAGTCAGGCTACGGGCCACATATATGACATACATAAAATAACTTGTACAACCCCCATTAAAGCGGAGCCATAAATGTAACTTCACATATTATTCCCCCCCCCCCAAATTCACTATAAATAGAGGATCATTTCATGAATAAAAGGTTACACATTCGTTATGCATTACTTTTCATTCCATGTGCATTTCCCTCTTTGTATCTCTCTGCCTCTCTCTCTCTCTCTCTCTCTCTCTCTCTCTCTCTCTCTCTCTCTCTCTCTCTCTCTCTCTCTCTCTCTCTCTCTCTCTCTCTCTCTCTCTCTTTTTCTCCTATGCTTTATTTCTTAGGTGTGATTCACGAACAAACTCAAATTCAATACCAAGAAACATTCATCAAGAATAATATCACAATAAATTAAATTAAAAAAAGGAAAAGAATTAAAGAAAAAAAAACGCAATCTTAACAAAATCAAACATACCAAAACTAAAAAAAAAAAGATCCAAGAACTTAAAAACAAAATAAAAAATGATAAGACATATAAGTATATGATTTTAACAAGTAAATAAGTGAAGGCAAAAGCTTATCAACCAAAGCAGACCAAAAGAAAGAATCTCCCAACCAAATCAAGTTAACAACAATTTTTTTTTTCATTGCTTTTTCCCTTATGAGTGTGTGTGTGTGTGTGGAGAGCGAGGGAGAGCAAAAGTCCCTCTCGTTTCTTTTTCTTCTCCCCGCCAAAACTAAAAATAAAAAATCCAAGAACTCAAAAACAAAATAAAAAAAATTATAAGACTTATATGTATCTGATTTTATCAAGTAAGTAAGTGAAGGCAAAAGAGAATCAACCAAAGCAAACCAAAAAAGAACCTCCCAACCAAATCAAGTCCACACAATTTTTTTCTCGTGGTCTCTTTCTCCCCACCCAAACCTTGCAACTCAAGGAATCTCCGACATATCACACTTCTTCGATTGATCAGAGAGGAGAATTCAATACATTTCTTAAGCATCGGAGAGGAGAATTCAATACATTTCTTACGCTTTCATCTCAAGATTTTGGCCAATCTCTCCCTTTCTATAACATCTCTTCCACAGTACTAGATCTTTCAATAGACTGTATGTACTTGTGAACGATACAAGACTCTACGTCCTAAAAATATTCCACAACTACATTTTCATTTATTTGTATTATATGCAACACTTGATATTTACAAGTTATTGAATGATTCAAATGAAATAACGTATCACATAACAAGATAAAATTAAAAACACATTCCTTCACTTGAGACGGTTTCTATTGATAGCTTATCTAAGAAGAAAGAGAGTTATATATATTAAAAAAAAATCAATAAAGTAAAACCAAATAACATGCGGCTCAGCTTAGAACATGGATATCTTGAATCCACTTTAAATTCCATACAAGATACTCTATGTTCCTTTACTTTTGTAAAGAAAGATTAAGGCATCCCCTATTAAGATATTTATTATTATAATAATGAAATAAAGCAAGGAAAAGAAGAGGGCTATCATATAAGTTCATCGACTACTCATGCTTTAATGGACATGGAGAAATCAGAATAGCTAGCCAATATTTGTTTTAATTCATAAGTTTTCATAAATGTATGAAACAAGAAATGAAAAGGCATTACATGTAATTGTTTGGATAGATATGTAAAGCTATTCCATTTGATTGATGTAATACGACTAAAAAACTTTGTGTGTGATCAGATTAAAGGAAATGAGATAAAACTTTGTTGATTGTACATCATATATAAGGGACATGGAAGATGGTTTTGTATGTATGATTTTCTTCACATCCTATGCATCTCATATTAGATGGTGAAAAAAAAATATATATTGAAATACTAAAAGCCACTTTGGGATCATTTTGTTTTTATTTTTAAAACATATTTATTTTTATAATATAATTTAAAAAAATACATCAATCAACTCAACTTTTAAATTATTAGAAAAATAGATATTTTTAGTTCCTTTAAAAATATCTTATTTTAATACAAAACATTAACAAAATAAATTAAAAAATAAATAAAAATGATCTTAAATGGCCCCAAAGTGATTAGCCCTTAGGATCAGACTTGTATTTGTTGCATGTTAGAAATTGTGTCGATAACGTTTTAAGAGAATAATCACATTTTCTATGAATGATGATCATCACATAATGATGAAAATAAATGAAATGAGCACTTATGATAATTTAAATTTTTATAAAAAATAATAATCAAATCCTAACATAATTAGAACAAAATCCACTAATAACAATCTTGACTTATAAACGGATAACCCTCTCTAAAATTAGCAAGTTGCTATTATAATATAATCAAAAGTTTGGATTACCAAAAAATATTTCACAAGGTGGCCACTTGAGGAAGTTGTTAGTCTAGTTGAAGATGTGAGAAATTAATACACTGATATAGGGGACATAAAAAATATTCATTGAGATAATAAAAAAATACTAGAGTTGGTCCTCCTTAAGCTAGAGATGTCATGCAATGAAATAAGTTGGCATGACTACATTGAAATGTAATGAAAATGATCTAAAACATTAATGATAGTTCTCTTTCTAGAGGTATGAAAGATCTAAAGATAAAAATAAATTAGAGAAGAAATGTAACGAAGGTGATTAAAGGCAATTATGATAGTTTTTTGTTTGAGTAAAATTATGAGGATTCTTGGTAAGAAGGTGGAGTTGACATATCCTAGAGTAGATGAAGTAAACTAAAAACCAAGGCTGTAAAAGTTACTAAGGGCATTTAGGATAACATTTCTTTTAAAGACGATGATGAATAAATTAAAGACAATAAAGGAGAAGGCACAAGAAGGTTAACAAGGCTAATTGAGATATTCATGATGGTTATCCTTCAAGAGGTGGACATAAAATGAGGGTTTATAGAAGTCATAGGTATTCCAAAAGACTAAAAAATGTTTATGGAACAAAATACTACAAAACGAGTGTCTCATCAATGCGGGAGCGACTCTCGTATTGTCAGGGTGTGAAGCTGGATCACGTCTTGAACACAAGAAGTCCTACGTAAGTTGGGAGCGACTGCTCTATCTTGACAGACTTGTTCCATGCTTTTTCCCTTCTAAGGTGTCATTCGGTCTTGCAGGTCACTCATAGCTATCCTCTTATTATATATTTATTTGTGTATGAGTCTAGAGAAGTTTTTCATGTGTTTCATATTAAGATAACCACCGACATCTCTTCTTCCCTTTAAGAGTTATATTATAGGATTCCATGTTGTGATTATCTTTTCCATTCTTTGTCGCATCATCCCCATGTCTCTCTCAGCAGCCCCCCCTTACTGCAATCGCCCCTGAATGACCACATACTACTAGTTTCCCTGTAATTTGCCCATTCCATCCAACTAACTTCACTATCACCACCCCAAATAACCATCCTCTTACTGTCTCGCTGTCCCTTTCATTCCTGGTTGCTACAATTGTCATTTTACCTCACTTTGGTCCCCTAGAAACAATTATTTCCTGCTATTCTAAACTCCCCTTTTGTTACTGCAATTTAGAATAGCTCATATCCTATTGTTTGGCTGACGTTCGACCCATCACCCTTTTTGCCACCACCTAGGACACCCCATCTTCTCAATGTTCCGACACTTTCTTTCTTCCCTTTGGCTGCCACCCTACCTTCACCCATATATTATGCTTTGTTACCTTTCCAGATGTCTAAACTCTTGCCAATCACCACCCTTATCCCTGAGATCCACCATTGTTTGAGTTAGTATTGCGGACAAGATTGTTATTGGACAGCGAGACAGGCATTCATAGGAGCATCAACAAGATTAATATTGGATTTCTAAAAGGGCCAAAATTTTGAGGAGCTGATATGAGACACATGACAAATTCATATAAGAAGAAATTAAAATATGCAAATGTATCCATAACCTATCTTCTGAGTTACCCCTATTAAGGGTGATCTAACATATCAAAAGATGAGAAGCTTTTGGGCGACATTTGGAAGACCATATAGAGTTATTTGGATTGTACAATCAATTCAGCAGTGTACCCACTAACAAATGGTCAGACGGAGGGATTACCTGTAGTATTGTACATTTCCTTTGAAGTTTAGTGGGAAGGAAAAATCTACACTGGGATCCAACCCTTTTAAAGAAGACGAAGAAGGAGTACTTTTTGAGTGGTTATGCTTCAGTGTGGCCCAGTTTGGTCATTCCATACTTGATTCCTCATTTTATTCTTGTTTATCAGATACATTCAGCTGAGTATAGAGAGTGGAAGAAATAAATTAGGGATTTAATAGATTAAGAGTTACTTTATGAGAATGCACTTCTATATACAACTTCAACTTAGGTTGTGTCAAAAGAGGTTGGATACTTATCCTATCAGTATGTGTTTTGGAAGCAATAAACCTACAAGATTGAATTTTCTAAAAGTTACAACAACTTCTCCAACTTCAACATGGTTGACCTTGTACTATGATATGAGAAGTCAGAAGCTTCGACAGATGAGATTGAAGCTCCCCCAACCCTGAGAGACTGACTTGGGAGCGCCTCCTGCACGAGTGAAGCATGATTGCATTCATAACAACCAATAAATTTTTATTTTCCCGGTAGTTTCTCAATTCCAACCTCATATTCTCACTACTGCTACCTTGGACAATTGTCCTCTTGCATTCCTACAATCCCCCACATTCCCCATTATCGACGCCGACATTCCCCCAGATTGTAGCCACCTGGAAACAATAGTTTCCTACTATTTACTATTGTTCCAGCAATCCAACCATCAGTTCCTCTTATTTCAGTCTGTTGTCATTGCCACAACTCTTCTTCCTTGTAGTTGCATTCCATAATAGCACATCTCCTTGTCAAACCTCTCTCCTTTTCTACCACCACCCAAGACATCCCGCCTTGTCACTATTTCGACAATTTCTTACCACCCATTAACTATCTCCATCGCCCCCTAGTTGTCTCCATACCTTCCAAGCTATCAACAGTCCTTTGCTACTTCTCCAGAGGTTCGAACCATCGTCGATCACCACCAACCCCATGATCCACCCTAGTTTGAGTTAGTGTTGTCATTTGTCACAATTTCATAGTTTTGTGTGGTGTGTTATTGTTATTTCCTATTTCACTTGATTTTCTTTTAACATAAAGCTCATGATGATAGATTTTAGATGAATGATAGGTTGGGCCCATGAAGGCCATCAATGGATGTGACAGAGGTGTCATTACTCATAGAGTGTAACCTCCTATCTACGTGTTTTGAGGAAGAAGGGGACATGACTCGGTCCAATTTGGTTCCACATGATTTGATTAGACCATTACAAACATTTTTTTATGCTCAAATTCAATCATTTTAATTTTGAAATCAACTCAATGATTGACTAAGCTTGATAATAAACTTACATCATCAAAGAGTCAATTATATTGATATTAGTTTGTTATTTTAATATTGATGAGAGATTAAGATATTTATAAATAAATATAAAAAAAATTAAACATTTAATATATAAAGATGTAATAAAATTATGATTGATTTGAAAATCTCCCATATAATAAATAGAAAAAAATTGTCAAGTGACGACCTTTTTCTAACAGGCTAATAATTATGATTATGTTGTAATTTTGGACTATCCGACGAATAAATCCAAAAAATTCCAACCTTGCACCGACCATCCTGAGCTGGACGATCCCATCACCGCCTATGCGGGGTAATGGCACTTTTGACCTTTCATCTTTCAGATCCGGCCATCGTCTTAAACTTACCGCTGGTGACGACTACACTTGATTCAAACGGGAGCCCGCCTCTCTTCACTCTCTCTCTCTCTCTCTCTCTCTCTCTCTCTCTCTCTCTCTGAGCAGTGAGCAGTAATCAACTGTGTGTCCATGGAGAAGATCTCAGTTGCTGTCCGATTCCGGCCATCGATCGCCGAAGAAACTGTCGGAGATCGGCAATGGATAATCGAGGAAAACAGAATATCACTCCACAAACCCCTCGGCACTCCAATCTCCGGCTTCTGTTTCGCCTTCGGTAATTCCTCTCATTTCACTTCCCTAAAACGGGAACCTTCTTTCTCACTCTTTTTATCATTAGCAGATCATGTATTTGAACAGAGCTCTACCAATGCTGCCGTCTACGATGTCCTCATCAAATCTATAATCCACGCGGCCATCAATGGTTTCAACGGTAACCGGTTCTGCTCTTCTTATATGTTATTGTTTTTCCAGAAAACCTAGAATCTGATTACGTTTTGTCTTCGCTCTTAGGGACTGCCTTTGCTTACGGACAGACAAGCAGCGGCAAGACGTTCACCATGAACGGCTCTCAGTTTGACTCCGGTATCATTCCGCTGGCCGTGAGAGATATCTTCAATACGACTCATAAGGTTTGTAATTCGCTTAGATATCTCATGACTCATTTTTTGCTCCGTTTCTTTAGCAGTAATGTATTGGGGGTTGCAGATTACAGACCGTGAATTTCTAGTTAGAGTTTCTTATATGGAAATTTACAATGAGGAGATCAACGATCTCCTGTCGTTGGGGAACCAGAGGCTTCCAATTCATGAAAGCTTGGAGGTGTGTTCACAAGTTTAACACATGATAGATTGCCGAGTGCTTTAGTGTAAAATGCGCCTCTTTGCTGTGCATGTAGCGCGGGGTTTATGTGGCGGGGCTTCGGGAGGAAATAGTGAACAGTGCCGATCAAGTTCTTGAACTCATCAAACTTGGTGAAGGTATAATTAACTAAATTGAGTTATTGTCGTTTTAAGTGCGGTCATTGAGATGAAAACGGTTATCTTTTTGCAGCTAATCGGCATGTTGGTGAGACAAATATGAACGTTAGGAGTAGTAGATCACATACAATTTTTAGGATGGTATAAAAATGTCTTTGCCTATTGATCTGGTGTTTTCTTTAGTTATCTTGAAGCCATTTTTATCATTTTATTGGATCTTCTGTAACCCGTAAATGTAGGTCATTGAAAGCAGTGCTAAAGATTCCACCTCATCTGTTGATGCTATACGCGTATCTGTGTTGGTTCGTAGATTGATTTCTCTTCAGCCAAAGAACACAGCTACTTTTGTTTTTTTTCTCTTAAAATACTTCGTGGGTTTAGAATTTGGTAGATTTAGCTGGATCAGAAAGAATCGCTAAAACAGGAGCTGGTGGAGTTCGTTTGAAGGAGGGAAAGCACATTAACAAGAGCTTAATGATCCTTGGGAATGTGATCAACAAACTCAGTGAGAATGGAAAGCAAAGGTATCCTTCGTATACTGTAATTAATGGTTTTCCCCCTTTTCTCAAGCTCAATATTTCTACAGAGCAATTGTGATATTTTGACTCGATGTATTTTACTGACACATGCTGCTACACAATTGTGCTAATTTATGAGCTTTTTACACACATTCTAGTTTGAAGTTAATCCCTACGTTTCAAATCTGTACCTGCTGATGCTTCGTATACATAATATCCAGGAAATTTCTTTAGTGTTAATTTGATTAAATTCACATTGTTTTTCCATCTACTAAATTGTAGAAGTGGGACTGTTCATTTTATATGTTAAGTAGAGTATTTTGATCACGCAGGTCACATATTCCCTATCGCGATAGTAAACTAACTCGAATACTTCAGCCTGCTCTTGGAGGCAATGCCAAAACCTCAATAATTTGTACGGTGGCGCCTGAGGAGGTGCACATTTAACGTGCTTTCTACTATTTTGACAAGTCACATCACGTAATTTAACATACACATCTCTCGCTAACATCAACTAGAATTATGAATAGGTGCACACCGAGGAAACCAAGGGAACTCTTCAGTTTGCCAGTAGAGCCAAACGCATTACCAATTGTGCTCAAGTAAACGAGGTAAGATGTGATTTTATTTGGATTTCATTAGGCAGATGTACAGATAACGTGCTCAGCACGCATAGAGGAATTTGTTTCCTTATTGTTTTTGGTTGTGGAATTTTCATAGTAAGTTGAATTTCCTTCACAAATAATCGAAATGATAGCTGTTTATTTTAGCAGTTAGCCTTTGTATTGCAAGTAACCAAACGAACTTATGCAAGGTATTTTTTGCTTTGTTTCATGTTATCCATACAACAACAACAACAACAACAACAACAAACCTTTATCCCACTAAGTGGGATCGGCTACGTGAATATTTTTCTCTATTGCATCCTACTGAGTGTTATATTTTCTTTTAATTCTAATAGATTAAAATCAATTTTTAATACAATAAGCCCAAGTCTTTTTAGGTCAACCTCTGTCTTTCTTAACATAAGTTAAATTTAAAAAATCTACTCTCATAACCGGATCATCTGATGATCGACGTTTAATATGACCAAACCATCTAAAACGACTCTCTAATTTTATCCGCCGCTAGAGCTACACCAACCCTATCGCGGATATATTCATTTCACATTTTGTCTCTAAGCGTCAAGCCACTCATACACCTAAACATTCTCATCTCAACAACACTTAACTTTGTTCAATGCTTCTCTTTTAAAGGTCAATATTTTGCGCCATAGAGCATTGTAGGGCTCACCGCCATCTTATAAAATTTTTCTTTAGGTCCAAGCGGTACTTTTCTATCACACAATATTCCCGATGCATTCCTCCACTTCAAACAACCAACTTGAATTCTACTAATAACATTCCCAACTATATCACAATCACTTTGAACAATATACCTGAGATATCTGAAACGATCACATCTTTTAATGATTTGATCCCCCATACCCTGCCACTAGAGCCGCAACCACTAAAATTATATTTCATGTATTCAGTTTTAGATCCACTCAAACGAAAGCCTTTAGACTCCAATGTAGACCTCTATAATTTAAATTTTTCTTGAATTCTTTCTCTAGTTTTATCCACAAGAAGGATACCCCATACCCTGCCACTAGAGCCGCAACCACTAAAATTATATTTCATGTATTCAGTTTTAGATCCACTCAAACGAAAGCCTTTAGACTCCAATGTAGACCTCTATAATTTAAATTTTTCTTGAATTCTTTCTCTAGTTTTATCCACAAGAAGGATATTATCAACAAAAAGCATACTTTAAATATCCAGTAAGAGCATCCATAACTAAAGCAAAAAGATGTGGGCTTAGAACTGATCACAGATGCAATCCAATTGAAATAGAAAAATACTTGGTCAATTCTTCTTCTGTTCAATCATAACTAACATCTTTAGTATATAGATCTTTAATGACTTGAATATATGTCATATCAACACTTTCTTTTCTAGAACTCTCAAAAGGAATTCTCTTGGAATCTTATTGTAAACTTTTTCTTAATCAATAAAAATTATATGTAAATCCTACTTATTCTCTTTGTACAACTCCATAAAACCTCTCAATAAATGCATAGTTTCCATAATAGACCTGCATGACATAAATCCAAACTAATTATGAAAAACCTTTGCATCACATCTTAACCTATATTCAATTACCCTCTCATAATTTTAAGGAATGACACATCGACTTAATTTATCTATAATTGACACACTCTTGTGCATCCCCTTTATTTTTAAAAGTAGGGACTAAAATACTTATCTTCCACTCCTCAGGCATCTTTTTAATTTTTAAAATAATATTAAAGAGTTTAGTAAGCCAATAAACCCTCAAATCTCCTAAATATTTCTATAATTTAATTGAGATATCATCATATTCTAATGATTTTTCACTCTTGGTTTTCTTTAAAGTCTCCACAACTTCTTTTTTGCTAATGTGACAGTAAAAATAAAATATTTTATTATTATTAATGATATTAAAATCACTAACATCAATTGTATTTTTAGAAACTTCATTGAAAAGTTTATCAAAAATAGCTCACTTTGTTGAATAACTTTCTATAAGAATTTTTTTTTTCTTTTAACTTTTAATACAGTTTACTTGGATTAAATCTTCACTTTTTTTTCTCTTTGTTTGGTTAGTTTATACATATATTTTTCACCCTTGTTAGTATCTAATATATTATAAAGATCCCTAAAAATATAATTTTTAGCGTCACAAATTATTTTTTAAGACTTCGCACGACCACCTTATATGTTTCCCAATTCTCTATGTTTTTACATTTAAACTAATTTTTATAATACTACTTCTTATATTTTATCTTTACTTGCACATTATTATTCCAACACCAATTTTCATTTATGAAAATTTTTTCTTTTGATTCTCAAGTTGTCCATTTAAATTTTCTTAAATAAAAACTCTTTTTTTAAGATGCATCATTTGTATTAATTCTTCTAGTTCATTTCAAAATTTTTCATTTGAAATTATATCTAAACCTCTTTGAGGAGCATAAACACTTATAATATTAAAAATCTTAGTATCAAGAACAATCCTTAGGGCTACAATTCCATCTCATGTTATCCATACCTAATTAAATATTTTAATTCTATTCTTTTTAGTGTCTTTTCTTAGGTCACCCATCTTGATAATGCTTTGACATGAGCATACCTAATCGTGGAGTCTTAAAGAAAATTCACCTATTTTACCAAAAAAACATCTTCCACGTTTAGTCAGACCATTCACTTATATAACCCAATAATTTTTCCCCTCTTTTTATTTGTGGTTTGATTCACCCATACTCTTTTTTTCTCCTAGATGATTTTTTGCCCCTATTCAGGTGCCCCGATTAGATTTAGGATTTAAAGTCTCACAAATTTTGATTTGATTTGATTCACTCTCGAACATCAGATTGTACTAGAAATGATCTAGATCTAATAAAGTTATAACAATTCATATCACATTAAGGTGTTGTTTGGCTGCAAGTAGGATTTAACATTAGTAGGATTGCGTAAATCCGTAAATCCATCCAACCCCTAAATTTAGTAAATTATGATTTAAGCCGAGTTGAAGGCAAAATTGGGCCTAGTAAATTCGAAAATTCATAAATCCATAAACTGTTGCATTTTGTTGTTTGGCTTGATTTAGTGAATCCAATGATAAATCCGGTTAAAAAGCACAACCAAATATCCCTTAAGTGAGACATTTCCGAAATTGATTCATGTAGTCTTATACCTGACCAAACCTTGCTATTTTATCTTTGTAGGTGCAAGAATTGAAGAGGTCAATCTTTTTGAGAGTATTCCTATGTAAACACAACTAATTTTAAAAAGAAATTTCACTAGTTGCGATAAAAATTTCATCATGTGTTTGGTCGAATTCTTTACTTATATAACCTAATAACATATCTTTTCTTCCTCTATTAAATTTAATTCATTTCTTGCTTTTTTTCTCCTTTGAATCTTTTTAAAAGTCTCTCCTCATGTGGGCATTTTGTTACTAACAACAATCATGCCCCGTCTTATTTAAAAAATCCTCTTTGAATTTGAGAATGGTAACTTGTGTCACACTATATAGGTATTATTTGTTTTGACTCAACCAATTTCATGTTAGGCTAAATAGTTTAATTGCTTACGAGTATGCTTAACTGTAGAAATTTTAAAGAATATTCACAAAAAAAATGCGTCACGTATTTATTTAATTCATACATGTCAATGGCGAATAATGCATTAAAGGGCTATGGTCTTCATGGAATCATTGCACATTGCACGGTGTTCATTATAAAAAAAATATGAATAAACATACAATTACATATCCAAGACTTCTAAATTAGAAGATAATCATCTTTAAATTTAAAAGAAAAGATCAAACTTATGCTTAATTTTATGTGCTCGACTGTCTCATTTTAATCAAGTGTATTAACCTGAGGATTGCTTCAATTTTTTTTTTAAACATTGCAAATGAAGTATAAGAAAGAGAATCGATAATTATTGAAAATTAAAATATTATTTTTATGCATTGCATAGGAGTGAAGTTGGAGTCCAAAACACTGGTACAATGGTCGTAAAAAGCATGTGGCAAGAAAGTTATCCATAATTTAGAAAATGCTTTTTCTAATCAAGATATTATGGTAAATTGCTTTCCCATCAAAGGTAAATTCACCTGATTAAAATGACATTTGAAATCAAAGAATTGAACAAAAAAAAAAGGTTAGAACTAAAATGATCTTGATAAATTTCAATAATAAGTGAATAATTGAAATAAAAAAGATGCACTATAAAAATCCATTAGCAAAGATAAATTCAAAACCCAAACCAACCTGCCTTATTCAGGCCCGCCCTGTTTAGATTTAGGATTTAAATGTCTCACAATTTTTGACTTGATTTAACCTACCTTGAACATCACATTGTACTAGAAGTGATCTAGCCCTAATAAAGTTATAACAATTCATATCATATTAAGTGGTTGTTGAGCTGCAAGTAGGATTCAACGTTAGTATGATATAGTAAATCTATAATCCATCTAACCCTTGGATTTAGCGAATTAGAATTTCAGCCGAATTGAAGGCAAACGAGGCTAATTTATCTAAAAATTCATAAATCAATGGAACTCTTGCATTTTGTTGTTTAGCTCATTTTAGTAAATCCAATAATAAATTTTCTTAAATGGTGTTACCAAATAGTTCTTAAGTGAGATATTGCCTAAATTGGTTCATCTAGTCTCATTCCTGACCAAACCTTGCTATTTTATCTTTTCAGGTGCAAGAATTCAAGTGGTCAATCATAGTATTCCTATGCAAGCATAGTTAATTTTAGAAAGAAATTTCACTCGTTGAGATAAAAACTCACCACTTGTTTGGTTGAAGTCTTTAATTATGTAACCCAATAATGTATTTTTTTTTCCTATATCAAATTTAATTCATTTCTAGCTATTTTTTTTTTCTTTGAATCTTGTTAAGAGTCGCTCCTTATTTGGGCTTTTTGTTACAACAACCATGCCCCTCCTTATTCAAACAATCCTCTTTGGATTTGAGAATGGTAACTCGTGTCACATTATATAGGTACTATTTATATTGAATCAACCCATTTTGTGCTAGGTTAAGAAGTTTAATCCCATACCAGTTTGCTCAACTATAGAAAATTTAAAAAATATTCACACCAAAAGATGCATCACATATTTGTTTATCAATGGTGGATAATACATTATAACGTTAAGGATTTCATGGAGTCATTGCACATGGCACGATGTCTATTATTAAAAAATTATGAATAAAAATACAATTATATATGAAAAACTATTAAAGAAGATGATCATCATGAAATTAAAAAAAACATCAAAATTATGCTTAATTTATGTGTTCAAATGCCTCGATCGCTTATTTTGAGCGAATATATTACATCTTGAAAAATTGCTTCAAGATTGTTTATTTTTTGAGTACATTAAAATGAAGCATAAGAAAGATAACTGGTAATTATAGAAACTTAAAACATTATTTTTAAGCATTGCATAGGAGTGAAGTTGGAGTCGAACACAATGGTACAATGGTCATAAGAAACATTTGGCGAGAGAATTAGACATAATTTAGAAAATGCTTTTTCCAATCAAGATACTATGGTAAATTGCTTTTCCATTAAAGGTAAGTCCACTTAATTAAAATGATATTTAAGATCAAAAAATTCAACGAAAGAAATGTTAAAGCTAGAATGATCCAGATAAAATTCAATAATAAGTGAATAAAAAAAATAAAAAAGATGAAATACAAAAATCCTTAACTAAAAATAAATTCAAAACTCGAATCAACCTGCCAATAACATACAAACACTTCCAAAAATAACCTTTGGTAACTTATATGGACAATATTTGGTTCGAATGTTTGGAAATGGAGACAATACAACAAAATATTCTCAATGAGAGAGAAAATGATTGGTGTGAGGTGTTTAGAGACTGAGATGAGGCAATCGACATGCTGCTTTGAGTTGAAGCCGAACAAAACATAAAGGACTGTCAGTGAGAGATAAACATGCAATGTTAGAGTTTCGATTTATGGGTTAAAGACTGTTTAGTGGTTTAATACTCTCATAAAATTCAGTTGTTATAAAGTAAATCTAGCAAATAATAATATAACATTTAATTTTAAACCTAAAACATAAAAATTGAAGTCATGTGTGTTATGCATTATTGATCTTAGTTGATGAAAATAGCTTGTGGGATTTTCATCTGTTGCGCTATTGTGCAGTGTTGAAATGCATGTTTTAGTTATCTTCTTATGTAGCCTAATAAACCCTTATCGATTTTTGATGTGGATATGGCTCATTGTTGACCCTGCCAAAAAGCTTGTGAGGAGCCACGCTTATACATGCAATCTTCCTCAATGAGCACCAGCCACTCTCTTTGAATTTGAGATGTCATAAATCCAGTATTTTTTACTTTATTTATTATCGATTAAAGCATCATACTGAAGGAGATTGAACTATAATATCAATTGTAACGATCCATGCTTGCTTATAGAGGGCCATTTTAGTTCCATACAATTTGATATGTCCAATTTAATCCATTGATTCCTTGAATTTATTCCAAAAATAGTCCATTTACTCTACTAAATTGATCCAAATATTTGGATCATTTGTGATGAATGAGGGATTAGATTGAAGACATTTATAATATGTAACTAAAATTGTCCCAAAAGATTAGTACACATGCTATTTTGACCAATTTTTTAATTATTTACTTTGACAAGGCTTGTTAATATATCAGGCAAAAATCTCATGATTTTATTCTTCATGTAGTTTCTTAGGTCACATATGTTGTGAGCTCTCTCACACAAGCACCTTTTAACTTTGGAGTTCCTAAAAAAATTCATTTGTTACAATATCTAATACTTTAAAAGTTTGTCAAGAGCTTGGATTTTCCTGTATATAACTTTTAAACCTCATTTGTTATATGTAGATAATGCACATTTTTATAATTATATTTGGCTTGCAAGGAGGGTTTGGGTACCTAACAAGAATATTGGACAAGCCAAGCCTTTACTTTTTTAATTTTATGTTCTCCTTCTGTAGCCTTTTATGTTATTGAACATTTCCTTAATTTCACAAACAATCTTTAATATGTTTTCTAACTTCTTGATCTCTTTTTTTTATTCTGTAAATTGTTACATATTTATTTTGTTGAAATCTTGTCTTTATATTATGAATTTGATAAATGTTAAAATTATAAGCTGCCATTCATGTCTTTGAGGCTTTCATTGACTGAAAATAAACTTCTATAGATTTTGACGGATGCTGCATTGTTGAAGCGACAAAAACAAGAAATTGAGGAACTTCGCAGAAAATTGCAGGTATTTAATAGTTCATGAAATTCACGTATTTGCTTTGATTCATGGTGATTTATAGATCTCAAGAGTTGTTTCCTTTTTAGGGGCATCATTCTGAAGTATTGGAGCATGTGATTTTAAAACAGAGGAATGATATGCATAAGGTGTGGTATTGATTTTCTATTCTTACAACCACGAGTTCTAAATAGATTACATCAATGACTCTACACCTCCTTTTCTTATTTTTACTTGTCAGTCTGAACTTGAACGTGAAAAGCTTGCAATGGAGCTTGAGGAAGAAAAGAAATCCCGTCAAAAACTTGAGCACCACGTAGTAGAGCAACAAAAGAAGATTGATTGTCTCAATAAACTTCTTTCTTCTGATAAAGCTAAAAAGTCAATTCAGGTAAGATTATGATTTTTTATATTGTTTTGGTAAGATTTTGTTAAAATTTTACTTCTGGTTTAGTAGAAGTTTTATATCTCTTCATGCTTGACTTCTTTGGCTAGACTTTTTCCCCTCATGAATATTTATAAATTATAAACTTATCAAATTAAATGCATAATGTTTATCTAAAAAATTAAATATGAAGTACTATTACAACACTTCTCCTTTTAAAATTTTACTATGTTTAATAATATTAGGGCATTGTTAGATTGTGTTGGTTTAACCAACCTTTGCTCTAGTGTCAAATTTAGCTCATATTCAATCTATTAGGGTTGCCTACCTATTTATTAATTTTTATCAGTTTGATTATGTAAATTAGCATAATTGTTCATTTGTACATGGAAGGATAATACACATTTTAAAAAAAAATTAATTATTTGATCATTGCCTAAAATCGTACAATAAGTGCCTCAATATAATCTTGAGGGAAAAATGTCATGTGGCTTTTACCTCATTTTGCTTGATAAGGCGCAAGCCTTACAGTCATCTTTGTGCAATTTGTAAGAGACACAAGTCTAAAAAACAAGAATATAGGTACTTTAAAACACATATTTTATAAATTTTAAATATATAAAATATTATTTTATCAAATTGATGTGAAGACTTCCATATCAACAATGATAGAAGCTTCTTGAAGAATTGAATACCAAAGATCTTTGATTATAATTTGTACAATAGGCCTCAGTTAAGTAAAGAAATGTTAGTGACTTTAATTTGAGTGTTAGGTTGACAATTAGAAGTTATGCTTTATTTGATGCTTTGGCTAAACTATGGTGAGATAATTTGTACAATAGGCCTCCTTAGTGGTGCTTGGGCCTTGGAAACTATGGTGAAATTTATAGTTTTACCTCATTAGTGGTTGTGTTTAGGAAAGTTTTTAGATTGTAGCCAACATTTTCGTTCGAGATTTCAATGGAATGTAGCTTTGTTTCTCATATAAGGAGCAAATTGTAAGGTTAATAACAAATTTAATCGTTCAAGTATATGCGGATTGGTTGCTTGGAGGTATTGAGAATATATTGCATTCTATTTTCTTGTTTTTGACTTTTTTGTTGTTTGGTTGAAATCAATTAAGTACTATGAATTTAAGGACTTTGAAATGCCTAAAAAGCTTTATTATCCTTGCATTTGGAAGTCAGTTAATTTCTGAATCATTTAAGTGTATGGAGATCGAATGTTTATTTTACTAACATTCAAAGTAAGCAATATAAAAATTGCAAGCTTCTCGAGAGCACTGTTGACCTCACTTTTTGTCGGTTCTAATTTAATTTTTGGCTATTCCGCTCTAGGTCTAGGATCCCTTTCTAGTGCCCTTAGGTGGCCGGTTGGTTATGGTCTACTATGTTTGGTTTTGTTTCGGGTGGCTCATTCTTTGCTATGCAGTCCCAAATGATTCCACTAGTCTCCAACTCACCTGGCAGTATCAAAAATTGACCTGACACCAAACTTGATCTAGACCCGACTCAAAAATTGAGGTTTAGGTTGACAATAGTAATTTTTGGGTTTTTCGGGTTAGGAGTCCTAATTCGTTTATTTTTTTTTAAACGGGTTCAGGTTGACCTGCCAACCTGACACTAATCTGAAATTAGCATGCATCCGGAAATTAACTTGAAATTGACCCGAATTTGAACCGAATAACTATTATGCCTTATATTATATGGGTTATACTGATCATATTTGGGTTAGCAGGTTCAAGACGATTCAAGTTCAAGTTGGAATTTATGACTTTTTAATATTTAGGTCGGGTTTAGGATGCAGTTTCGGGTTGGGTCAATTTCGAGTCAGATCCAAACCCGACCCATGAACATAATTTGACAACCCTAAGTTCACCCTGTGTGGTTAGGAGTCCAATGGCAGTCTCATTTTGGAACTTGAGGAACCCCAAGCTTGGCATGAGTATGGTGTATGAGTGGTCTGATTGGGATTTGCTTGGTTATAATTGAAGTTTAAATTTGACCTGACTTCAACTAGAATCAAATTAAATTTAATGTCAACTTAATCTAAAAGCTAAATCAAAAGAAATTTTTTATTAAGACCCAACATAACTTAATTCAAATCTTAATCATAACTAGATCTACTTGAATTATATTCTGTTTGGGTTGAATATAATTATAATTAGACATAACTAGATACAACATAGCACAAAAACGCATTTTGAGAGCAATATTTGTGTTGGCTTCTCTAGATGGGTCATTTGAAAGGCTGGAGTTTTTTAGGATTTTTTTTCGAAAGTAAATCATGAGTGGTTTTCTTAGGGAAGAACCACTAAGATGGCCCTTTAGGAGAAGTCTATTTAGGTTTGTACATGCTTTTTTTTTCAAGCCTTCATTAGTTCTTGAATAAGTTGGTGACAAGAACATTTATAGTTGCTTTATTGTTGCTTGAATGGTTGTGTTTTTTGAGGAATTTCTTTTTAAAGGAAATCTTGAATGGTTTTCTTAGGAAGAGCCACTAACAGGCCCATTTAGGACAAGGCTTTTTAAGTTTATACATGTTTTTTTTTTTAAGACTTCATTAGTTTTGAATAAGTTGGTGAAAATAAGTTGGTGAAAAGAAATTTTATAGTTGCTAAGTGATTTTCTTAATGGGTTTGTTACAACGATAGCTAGTTGATTATAGTCATGGTGAATGCATTTTGATTATGGTTGGGTTTTATGAGGAATTTTTTCCAAAAGAAAAACTTGCATGGTTATCTTCAGAAGAGCCACAAAGAGGGCTCTATTGGAATTTTTTCCAAAAGGAAATCTTGAATGGTTTTCATAGGAAGAGCCACTAAGAGGCCCCATTAGGACAAGTCTCTTTAGGTTTGTACATGTTTTTTTTAAAGTCTTCATTAGTTCTTGAATAAGTTTGCAAGAAATTTTATAGTTGCTTTAAGTGATTTTCTTAATGTGTTTGTTACGACGATAGCTAGTTAATTATGGTGATGGTGAATGCTTTTTGATTATGGCTGGGTTTTATGAGAAATTTTTTTTGAAAGGAAATCTTGCATGATTATCTTAAGAAGAGCCACAGAAAGGGCCCTGTTGGACAAGTCTCTTTAAGTTTGTACACATATATGGTGGATCGAAATGCTGGGTTTTTTTAGGAGTCTGATCCGAAAGGAAATCTTGAATGGTTTTCTTAGGAAGAGCCACTAAGAGGCCCCTTTAAGACAAGTTTCTTTAAGTTTGTACGTGATTTTTTTAAACCTTCATTAGTTCTTGAATAAGTTGGTGACAAAAAATTTTATAGTTGCTTTAAGTGATTTTCTTTATGGGTTTATTACGACGATAGCTAGTTGATTATGATGATAGTGAATGCATTTTGATTATGGATTGGTTTTATGAGCAATTTTTTCCGAAAGGAAATATTGCATGGTTATTTTAAGAAGAGCCACAAATAGGACCCTGTTGGAATTTTTTCTGAAAGGAAATCTTGAATGGTTGCATTTTTTGAGGATTTTTTTCCGAAAGAAAATCTTGAATGGTTTTCTTAAGAAGAGCCAGTTAGAGGCCTTTTTAGGACAATTCTCATTAAGTCTGTACATATTTTTTTTTAACCTTCATTAGTTCTTGAATATGTGATTTTCTTAATGGATTTGTTACGACGATAGCTAGTTGATTATGGTGATGGTGAATGCATTTTGATTATGGCTGGGTTTCATGAGGAATTTTTTCGAAAGGAAATCTTACATGGTTATCTTAAGAAGAGCCACAAAAAGGGTCCTGTTGGATAAGTCTTTTTAAGTTTGTACACATAGATGGTGGATCTAAAGGCTGGGTTTTTTGAGGAATTTAATCCAAAAGGAAATCTTGAATAGTTTTCTTAGGAAGAGCCGCTAAGAGGCTCCTTTAGGAGAAGTCTCTTTAAGTTTGTACATGTTTTTTTAAGCCTTCATTAGTTCTTGAATAAGTTGGCGACAAAAAAGTTCATTGTTGCTTTAAGTGATTTTCTTAATGGGTTTGTTACGACGATAGCCAGTTGATTATGGTGATGGTGAATGCATTTTGATTATGGTGATCTTAAGAAGAGCTGCAAAGAGGGCTCTTTTGGACAAGTCTCTTAAAGTTTGTACACATATATGGTGGCTCGAAAGGCTGGATTTTTTGAGGATTTTTTTCCGAAAGGAAATCTTGTATGGTTATCTTAAGAAGAGCCACAAAGAGGGCCCTTTTGGACAAGTCTTTTTAAGTTTGTACATGTTTTTTTTTTTCAAGGCTTCATTAGTTCTTGAATAACTTGGTGACAAGAACTTTTATAGTTGATTTGAGTGATTTGCTTAAATTGACAGGGGGTAGGTTAGGGCAATGAGGAATTTTTTCTGAAAGGAATTGAGGGGGGGGGGGGGGGGTGCGGGGCAACATAGTTGGTGGCTCGAAAGGTTGGGTTTTATGAGAAATTTTTTCTGAAAGAAAATCTGGCATGGTTATCTTAAGAAGAGCCACAAAGAGTGCCCTTTTGGACAAGTCTCTTTAAGTTTGTATTCATAAACTGTGGCTCGAAAGACTGGATTCTTAGAGGAATTTTTTCTGAAAGGAAATGTTGTATAGTTATTCTTAAGAAGAGCCATAAAGAGGACCCTTTTGGACAAGTCTATTTAAGTTTGTACATGGTTTATTTCTTCAAGCCTTCATTAGTTCTTGAATAACTTGTTGACAAGAACTTTTATAGTTGCTTTGAGTGATTTGCTTGAATTGGCAGGGGGGTTAGGATGTTGAGGAATTTTTTTCCGAAAGGAAATCTTGCATGGCTATCTTAAGAAGAGCCGCAAAGAGGGCCTTTTTGGACAAGTTTCTTTAAGTTTGTACTTGCTTTTTTTTTCAAGCCTTCATTAGTTCTTGACTAAGTTGGTGACAAGGATTTTTGTAGTTGCTTTGAGTGATTTCCTTAAACAGGAGGAGGAGGCGGAGAGGGGCCCTTTAGGACAAGGAAATCTTGAATGGTTATCTTAGGAAGAGTCACTAAGAGGGCCCTTTAGGACAAGTCTCTTTAAGTTTATACATGTTTTTTTTTTTTTTAAGGGTTTCTTTCATTTTTGTCGGAGTGGTATTAACATCTGGGATATAACAATTGCAATTAGGGCCCTTTAGGACAAGGAAATCTTGAATGATTATCTTAGGAAGAGCCACTAAGAGGGCCCTTTAGAACAAGTTTCTTTAAATTTATAAATGTTTTTTTTTAAGGCTTCATTTTTGTCGGAGTGGCATTAACATCTGGGATATAACAATTGCAATTAGGACCTATTCATGATGTTGTTAAATGTTTCAATAGGCCGAGATGGCGCACAAGATGCAGCGGAAAGGCAACCCTGTGGTTACAACTAGTTTGGATTCACCAACAGAATCTATGGTGTTGTAGTGAGCCAGGCTTGCTCAATTTCAGTTTTTATCATTGCTTCATAATCATACTAAAGAATTTTACTATATAAAGTTCATGAAAAATTCTTTATTTGCTAAGAAAATTAAGTGATAAATTTTGTGAAGCTAAAAGAGCCTCACTTGCTTTTAGCATTAAATCAACTTTTCTTGGCTATCTAATTTTGTAAATTGGAATTCTTGACACTAAGAGGGCCCTTTAGGACAAGTCTCTTTAAGTTTATACATGTTTTTTTTTTTCAAGGCTTCGTTGTTGTTGAAGTGACATTAACATCTGTGATATAACAATTGCAATTAGGACCTATTCAAGATGTTGTTAAATGTTTCAATAGGCCGAGATGGAGTGCAAGATGCAGCGGAAAGGCAACCCTGTGGTTACAACTAGTTTGGATTCACCAACAGAACGTATGGTGTTGTAGTGAGCCAGGCTTGGTCAATTTCAGTCTTTATCATTGCTTCATAATCATACTAAAGAATTTTACCATAAAAAGTTCATGAAAAATTCTTTATTTGCTAAAAAAATTAAGTAATAAATTTTGTGAAGCTAAAAGAGCCTCACTTGCTTTTAGCATTAAATCAACCATTATTGGCTATCTAATTTTGTAAATTGGAATCCTTAACATCAAGATATTAAAATTGAATTTTAGCACCTCTTCTATTATGATTAATCTATAATTTATCTTTTAAAAGCACTCTATTATCTTTGAAATTTTTATATGTTTATTTATATATTTTTTATTGTTCAGTAATAGGCTGTTTGATTAGGCCAATATTTCAATGAAAGTTTGGTTGTTGTATACTTTTCACTAAAATTTTTGCCGATTAAATTTTACAATTTAGTGGGTTTTGTTCTTGGCAGGAAAATGTTTATTCCGATTCTAGTTTTGAGAAACTGCATGGTAGTAATTGCATGTCTGAAGGCAACACATTCACAACTCCTATTTACAGAGCTATGCCAGATCAATTTGTTGTAAAGCGAGCAAATCTTTCTAAAGCATTCGATTCAAGTCCACTGCCTGAAAATTTTACAAACATAGCGAACGAGGACTTATGGCAGCAGTTAAACAAAGGATTCAGAACTGATCTTGATGCGCTAGAAATGACACCTAACATAAAAGATGGTGCAGCTCAATTAAACGATGTAAGTTGGTCTGAATAACTATTTATTTTACGCAATTTGGGTTGTATGTTATTTCTTATATTTTTTTCTCTCAATCACTATGTTGGTTATTGATCCAACAACTGGAACCGTGATATTTTCTTTCTTCCTTAACTTCTTTTGCTTCTAAAAATCATTATGCTTATTCTTTTATTCATAAAAAAACAGTAACGGAATGAATTACTTAGGTTTGATATGAAATACTATTTGAACAAGCTGTGCTAGCAAGGCAACAAACTTGAGCTTTATTTTTGAATGTAGTATGGATCTCTATTATGGTCAGAGCCATCATTTAAGGAGCAAGTATCCAAAGTCATACTCATGTCCGGTAGACTCCATGGCAGAGATTTTGGTCTTATTCTAATCTTTTGTTTAGGAATTCTATTTCGAGTTCATATAAACATCAGTACAAAGCTTTTTAGTTAATGGAACCAATCTATAGGTCTAGCAATTAAAAAAATTTTCTGCAATTTTTCACATCCAACATAGTGGTTTAACAAAATAGTTAGTTTAGTTCTATGGCTAAAGTTGTTCAATGAGATTTAAACAAAACAAAGCTACTTGGTAAGAGTGAATGAATACAGTTCCAAAGTAAAGCTAATTACAAAGATGATGGACTCTAGCTTTTGGGGGCTTCAGATTTAAACTTTTCTGAGTTTGCATATATATAATGCTACTACATAAATGCAATGAAGCAGTGAATCTAAAATTGAGCTTGGTCATCAACATTTAAATATCTTAAATTTGCATCTTTCATTGCGTCAAGTGAGTGGTACTCCATAGTATGAAACTAAACAAACTTAGAGATGTAGCTTATAAGCTGTGTTGAGTCAATAATACCTCTCAACCAAAACGAAACATCATTATAAACTGAAGCTTAAAAGATTAAATTTTTATTATTTTATTATTCATTTGGGAAAGTACGACATGCCGCTGAGACACAATTACAAAAATAAATAAATAAGAAGTACCAAAAAATATATATTTAGCTCTTTTTTGTTTCAATCCCATGCTAACTTATTAAGTGAATATTTTCTATTAGAGGCATCCTATTTATGTTTTTGCATATTACATCCCTTTTTTTTGGAATATGTTGTTATTTTTACATGTATTTTTGTGATCGCTCAGCATTGTCTCTTGATAATAAACAGCTGAAAATGCATCTAGTATAGTTAAACAGAAGGACAATGCTCGTCTTTGCATTCAATAAAATTTTCATTGCAAAACATAAAAAAAGAAACAAAAGCTAACATTGTTTTAATGGATCCTTCCATCTGAAAAGATTGAAAAGAATCATTATGTTACATAAAATAATTTATACATTTAATTTTATATTCAAGGTACAACATTCTCGACTCCATTCATAATGTCAGCTTAGACAAGCTCCTGAGAGAGGATGAATTCACCTAGCATTTGTGATGGTGGTTTTAATTAAGTTGCAATTAATTTTTTTTTGGAATTTTGGTTGTTTTCTTTTGTTTTGGCGTCTTGCCATGGTTTTGACCTACAGTGCTAACTGCTGTTTTCTCTGAAGGGAACTGATTTGGAGGAGAGGAGTTTGAAAGAAAGGTGTGATAACTTGGCTTCTGAATGTACTATCCATGTCTTCCAAATTGATGCATTAAAGGAACAATATGATAACTTGGAAAGTAAATACAGTCAGTTAAGAGAAGAAAACGCTTCCTTAGTACAAACTCTCACTTTCTCCAAACACGATGTTGTGCTCCTTAAAGCACAGAGAGACGAGTTACAGAAAGATCTGAACTATGAAAGAGAAAAGATGCGAGATCTTAAAGAGGAGATTCGGTTGTTTGGCCTAGCATTTGCAGAGCGCGAGTGTTTGCTGAATTCCCTTTATTCAAAATCGAAGGCCATGATTGAGACCTTCTCCAGCTCCCAAATCATATGATAATAATTAAGTTTCTTGATTCATTCATGGAAGTACTTCAAAGTCTGGTAACGGTCTACTACTTGGCTTTCTCGATCTTTAATTGATGACCCATGAATTACGTTATTTGTTTCAATGTTCTCCAAACACCCTTTTTATAATTCAGTTTTTTAACAAACATGTTCAAAGTCACGGCCTGTATCTAGTAGCTTTTTGCCACTTGTGCTTCAATATTATTTCATCATTCATAATTTTAAATGGATGTATTTTGTGTTTCATTTTTTTGACATGCATAATTTCGTTTATCTCACCCAGCCATTTTGATTATATAGACATCTTATTATTACTCTCAACAGAGATTCTCAGCTATTTCTCCCAAGCTTTGTGATGAGGAACAAAGTGTCCTCAGCCACGGATGTATGATTGAGGAATCTATTTCAAAATATTCTTTAGAGGTCACTTCGACATAGCCTTACCATAAAAGTTAACAATATTATGTTATTTTGATTATTACGAGTCCATGGTGCATAAATATTGAGGATCATATTTTTTTCACCTATTTGTTTCTTTCTATAGGAGATGTAAGTTGCTGACTAAGTTATAGTCGTATTGAGAGGCTGCCCTTCTGCAATCAGGAAATAGGAACCATCATGCTTCATGCTCAACAGCAATAAATTCAGATGCAGACGTCATCATCACCCAAATTTGAACACCAATTAATATGTTGGTGACTCCATCAATTTCAAATTTGATGGGTACCTATTTTATACAAACTACCTAATGGTATTTCTTTAGGTCAAATTCTTCCTATTCATGTTTTCTTCAATTTAGGACTTCTCCATATCCACAGATCCTGTTCCTTAGAACTTCATTATAAATAGAGATTAACGGCTTGTTGTAAGATCCAAATTTCTTTATTTTTTTCTCTTCCCAATTCAGAGACGAGAATCTCACAAATATTCTTTCATTTTCTTCCCTCCCACTGTTGTTGCTGCCCTCCCAATCTGCACTTGTCTTTTTCCTTCGTTTGACTGCACTGTATCTTGCATCTATTTAGGGAGGATCGATGCCAAAGCCTAAGGCATCGCTCGCCTCCTCCTATAGCCACTGAAACCACTGTTGATGTCCGCCCCATCTCAACACCCTCGTGTTTTCGCCCAAAACCACCTCCTTGGTGACCGATCCCTTGCGATACATTAGCGATTATAGCTAGCCGGGAGGGAAAAAATTTGCGGGTGCCATTTCGAGGTTACAGGGGTACAAGGGAGTTATACTCCATGTTATACATGTTATAATTTAATCTCTATGTAATCTTCTATGTAATCTAGTGTAACTTATAAATAAATTTATGCTTCTTTTATTATATATAGTAGATTAAATAAGTTACAGAAGATTATATGAAAATAATAAATACTTATATCACGAATATAATCATGTTATTTCTCGGTATACCGACAAATCGTAAGCAGCGCTGTATACTCTTATCTTACGCAAATTTTTTACGGCTTCATCCTTTCTGGGACCCACTGTTCATTTTAACTGAATTGAAATCGAGGGCATCAAGTATTCTATCTTTCGATGATGTGATAGCCCTTCCAATTATTGTCAGTTGTTGCCTTCTTTTAAAGCTATTATACTAATAATTGAAAATATGTATTTATATATTGATAATAATGATAATACTGTAGATCAATTAGGTTGTACCTAACTCATGAAATAATTAGTTTTAATAAATGTATACTGGCATTATTGTTCACATTTCTAAGTACAGATAGTGTACTGCCTACTAGTTGACGTTGATTCTGCTGCTACTTTTAAAATGTTTTGTTGCTGGTATTAAGGTAATTATTCTTTATTACGTGATAAATGTTGGGGGTGTTAATCTTGTTACGTGTATTAAATTTCTAACTATCAGTCTTATCATTATAATTTCATTTTTGTTCGTTATTATTTTCCTGTGTAATTAACATCATTTTATTGTTGTACAGACTTTATGTTGAATTACTCGTATGTCATGTTTTAGTAATTGTTATTTATTTATAGAGTTGATATGTAAAGTTTCATTATTATAGTTTTATAATTGATTATAAATATTAGTGCACATTTTGCAGTTCTATTTCTGTGCTTCGATTGTAATGCAAGAAATATAACTCATATTATAATATTATTATATCAATATTAATTTTTTTTTCATGACTAGCCGGGCCGATGAGTTCTTAGAGAAATTAGTGAGTTTTCATGGAATTGGTGCATACCTTTTACTATTTTAGGGTGTCATAGGTCTAATTATATTGAAAAGTATGCAATTGCCGCCTTACCGTGACTCGTGTGTAGTGTCAAATAAGTAAGGATTCTCATATTAGGGACAAATAAGAGCAAAAAAAGTTAGTTCATGAAACTAATATTATGATATGATCTTATAATATAAGTACTCTAACAGGTGAATTAATAAAATTAGTAGATATTATTGTTTATAGGAAGATAATTATTTTATATATTCAAAAAATTAAATGAGTTGGAGAAAAGACTAAAGAGATTGATAGCTTAGGTTTTAAACTTTGGTACTCAGGTAGGCGTCATACTAGAAACAGTGCAGGTGTAATTATAGATAAGAGTTTGAAAGATAATGTTGTAAAAATTAATAGAATTGAAGATAGAATTATAACCCTAAAGATTATTATTGATAGTAAAATTTTTAATGTTATAATTGCTTATGCTCCTCAAATAGATTTGATTATAAGTTCAAAAGAAAAAATCTGGTATGAACTAGAAAAAAACTAGTATAAATGATACCTATTGAAAAAATAAATCTTATTAGAGGAGATTTAAATGAATATATTGGTAGAGTGGTGATCGTCGATTTTTGTTTTAAAGAAAATAATTTAATTTAATATATA